AGAATTGTGCAGTAAAATGCAAGCGTAAGTGAGGAGATTAAAGCAATACCGTTCGTGGCACAAAAAAATATCCCGCGCGGCCGATAGTCCAAAAACGAGCGAAATACGAAAGCCGTTAGTAAATTTCTACTGAGTAACCGGGTAACCTACCAACGAGATACGTTAATAGGCCCTTATTAAAGAGTAGCACGTTCGCAGAGACGTGCTCATGGTGCCGCTGGGATAGTGTTAACGACAGTGCATTTGTCCACTGAACAACATATGACTTCCGGTCTTGGTTAGAACCTTCTTAAGACGAGAAGAGAAAATCATAATGATGGTCAAGTTTGTCAAGAATTGTCTTGATGGACAAGCCCCAAGTTATTTGTCTAATTATTTTCAACAGCAAACTTATGACGTTCATGCCTATTCTTTTATAAGGGCGCTACCCATTTTAATGATTTTATATAATTTTATCCCAGTTTCGAATACAGTTTTTTTTATACAGAACCTATGTTGATAGCAGTTTTTATAACTGAAATGGTCATCCTGTTAAAATATGTTAAATATGTTCTTCTTATTATTATAACAACAGAACAGAGGGCCGATGTTAGCAACCGAGGTTTGGACATATCAAGTAATAAAAACTAGTATGCTCCCGAAAGATCATTCAGTCCAGAGTAAACACAAATCTAGAAAACTGTCCCCTTTCATAACTGGTGGGAATTAAACCCGGAGCAAAGTGAAATCTCACTCCAGAATTTTCTACAGTAGAGCAGCCATTTGTTCCATACCAAGATGGGGGACCAGTAATGGCAGCCGAAATTCGGTACCGTTTGTTTGCTTTTATAGCAATCGGCGGCTCAAATACAATATCAAAGCCTTGGTGACCTTGGTGATCTCCAATTTCCCACTGTATCTGCTTAGATAAAAAAATCCCTTCTCGCTTTCTAACAGAAATGCCACTGCTATGATCTAACACCTCTAGTGTCACTGAATATTTACTGTTATCGCTTCCAAAAAAGTGGATTGCGTGTAGATGTATGTTTTTGTCAACATCAAAATCTATACAGTTTGGATAGTCGGAATTATACCACCACCCTCTGTCTAGTGATCGAAACCTAGAAATATCTTGCTTTCCCCCATTTCTCTCGGTTTCGAGAAATCCTACTGATTCATTTAGCACAGAGTTAAAATACTTGACCAGACGGTTCGTCTCTCTGAGTGTAAGTATTTCTGAATCAAGGACGATGTCAGCAAACTCTGTCTGCCCCATCAAAGGAAAACGAATTCCTTGAACAACACGTTCCCCAAGAACTCTTCTTTTCACGGAGCCTTCAGCTACGAGGCCTTGCTTTTTACATTCCTTTTCAGCCCAGCAATCGATAACTTTGAATAATTCCACTTCTTTAATATTCAACGAATTTTTCTCCACTAATTCCTCTAGTACTGACCTTTCGACTGTGACGAAACCCTCTGATTTTACAGCTTCTTCTGTCTGTGTCTCAATCATCTTCCAGCAGTGATTCATCAAATCTTTCTCTTCGTATTTCTGCGCATCCGGCAAAATGTGAAACACGTTTAACGCGTTTAAGTTCTCTTTAAGGAAAACAGAGCACTTCTCAGCCAAAGTAGGCAGCATATATTTCTTTGATAAATAAAGCAACTGCATGACATTATCAGCGTTCAGTTTCGCCTTGTCGCTGTAGATAAAGCGAAACAACTCCAACAGGCTTTCATACTCACAATCAGAAATCTCCACCGAATCTTTCATCTCTGCTGCTTTACCATAAAACATAGCAAAAAATACTGGACTACTGATCGCTAACATGAACTTGTGAGCGGGAATCGTCTTACTTCCGCCTCTGGAGTCACGGACCACGAACTTCACATCGCTAAGGAGCTCTTGATTGAAAACGGCCTCACATCTTTCTCTGATGGTACCTCTGGCTGTTTGCCAGTAAGTGTCCGACACTGCATCGATAGACATGGCTAATTCAGCTTTGCAGGGTTCGTTCATTTCTTCTAACTATTGCTGCAATGATATGGAACTATTCGACTTCTTTGCATTCGAGTCATGAGTTCGATTTAGTTCCCAGTGCTCCCGCGCTTAACGCTTCCAGCCTCGGTTTGGCGCTCATGTAAGCCTTAGGCCCGTCTCTCGAAATTTCCGATAATTGGCGGCCCCGGAAACTATCAGTTAACAAAACAAACTGTACTGGATTGGATTTGGATTCTTTAGATTTTGATTGGCACATTTGATTTCGGGCGAGACAAGTTACCGGTGTTACAGTGATATGGGCATCCCGGCGTTTTGGGCATCCCCAGAACCAATACCCTAGGGATATGGGTATTCCCTTCTCATACTACCTTTGCGATTTGGGTTATACTTTGGGTTAGGGTTACAGGGGATGTCCATATCACCAGGGTTTCGGGAATAGGGATGCCCAAAAAGCGGGGATGCCCATATCACTGTGATTCCGGGACTTTCGAGACACGGGGGCCCCTAGACAATGAGCCTGTTTTCAACATCCGAGCTGAAGACAACAAACAAGGCTTTCGTCTTTTCTCACTGTGCATATATCCTTTGCTTCTTGCAAGCAATTGAGCTGGATCGTGGCCACGGCTTCTTCATATTTTATCGTCTTTTTTTAAAATGTAAATCTCTCCTCTGTTTCTGTTTGATGAGTCAAATGGGAGCGTTTCACTTATACCATCTTTTTCATGCTAAGTGGCCCCTAAGTGGTGAAAAAAAATTGCACTTTATTTGAGTGTCAATGTATTTAGCAGGAAAGTACTAATTGGGGACACTATTTTTACGTCCGGTCTTGTGGAGACGGGACCGCCATTTTACGTGGTCATCCGAGCCACGCAAAGGTTTACCCGTTTGCAGGGCAAAGGGAGTACCTTCATTTCTCAGATATTTTATGACCCTAAGTATTGCTCCGGCCCCGGGATGTCGAACCCACGACCTCCCGCTCTGCTGTCAAGCGTTCTACTGACTGAGCTAATCCTGCCACTGTTAAAATGGTGCCGTGGAATATTAAAACATTTCACTTTTTTTTCTTTCTTTTCCTTTTTTTATTATACTATGAGTACACTATGTGGTAATTTTAAGAGGCAAGTTGAAGTGCTTTTATCTACTGGCATAGTTTTTCACTTTTCACCTTTTGTAAGTGTTACAAATCCGTGCAGGATTTGTTAATTCTGACTGAGCTTCATCTAGCCTACTACCAAGTGTCTCTTATATCCACTAGAAATTAAGATTACTAGCTTATACCAGTCTGAGCTGCTAGCCTATGTTCCAAAAGCGAAAGCGAAAAGGGTTCTAGACTTTTCCCACATCTGCACAGCTGAAATGATTTATCATGACAACTGATAGACAAAAGTAAATATTAGGTGTGTTCCACCTTAAGAAGGACTTTATAAAAATTCCGGGGGGGTACTACACTATAAAAGTGATGGGGGTGCTCGTCGTACCTTTTAGGGGTTAAATTTCTGGATTAGTACCGCTTATGGTGCTAAAACCGAAAATGACGGCTGCCAGAATTGTTTTGGTAGCTTTTAAGGTAAGGTTATCGCCGAGGGTTATCGATCTGAAACTGATGTATTTGTTATGCAAATAAATTTCTTGAATTCTTTTTATTTGAAATAAGATGTCCAGTTAATTTGTTGTCGTTGAATTGGTGCCTTTTAGGTGTGGAAATGAATTTGGGACACGCCCATAAAAAAAGATTCTGGTACCTTTTAGGGGTGTTGTCGAAATTTTCCGACGAGCACCCGCGTCACTTTTATAGGGGAGTACCCCCCCCCCCTCCGCGATAAAAATACAAACTGATAAGAAACAGGTTTTAATAATACCATATGATATCTCGATGTTTTCCTTCGCTTCCTAAATAGAATACATTTTTTAACGAGCATTTCGGAATTGGGCAAAAAGGAAGGGGGAAGATCGAGAAAATCATTTTCTTATTCTCAGCTTTTATTTTGTTTCTGTCTTCTTCATAAAGAAAAACACACAAAAATTTAAAACAAATTTAGCCAATTGATTTTATAAACCTCTTAGCAAACCCAAGGTTAACAGTATTTTGTCAATGCTGACGACACAACGCGCTTTTTGAATTGGCGCACTCCTTCTCTGTTAAAGGGTTTGAGAATGAAGCTAGCTATTCTGATTGTCTTTGTGGTTAGGCTAGTCATCCAGGTCAACGGTAAGATGATCAACAAAAATCAATACAATGAGACCACAAAACATGGATGAGTATGTCTGTCAGAACTCACAAAAACAACTGCGTTAAGGAACATCTGTTACAGACTGAATCTTCTATCGTGTTTTTGCAATTAAGGATATTGGTACACTAATCGCCATGGCAAAGCCATGGTAAATTCCTAATTCACTCACTACGTGACAAGATAAAAAAAATACATTCGCGTACGTATTTGAAACAAAGACGCTTCTTCACTGAACAGTAATAGTCACCCATGCATATTCACTATAATCGCTTCCAAAGGCGCGAATTGTAGGTCGCCGTGCGTTTCTGGCATCGTTAAAAAATAAACAATCTGAATAAGAAGGATCGTAAAATAAAACCACCTACTACTTAGTGATGCAAAGTTAGAAATAACGTTTGTGCGTCTAGTTCTTTTGGCTACATGAAATCCCACTGGATTATCCAGCACAGAGTTATAATACTTAATCATATGATTCGTCTCACTGGATGTAAGTATTTCCGAATCAAGGACAATATCAGCGAATTCTCTTTCCGCCATTGCGGGAAAGCGAATTCCCTTAACAATCCGTTCTCCTAGGGCTCTTCGTTTTAAGAAGCCTTCACAAACGAGGCCTTGCATTTCACATTCTTTTTCAGCCCAGCAATCAACAGCCTTGAATAATTCAACTTCTTTGATATTTAACGAATTTTTCTCCACTAATTCCTCCAAAACTGTTCTCTCAACTGTGACGAACCCCTCTGATTTTACAGCTTCTAATGTTTGTGTCTCGATCAATTTTCATCAGTGATTCACTAAATCTTTTTCTTCGTATTTCTGTGCATCCTGCAAAACGTAAAACACGTTTAATGCGTTCAAGTTCTCTTGAAGGAAAGCAGAGCACTTTTCGGCCAAAGTAGTCACCATGTATTACTTTGATAAATACAACAACTGCATGACATTATCAACGTTCAACTTCACTTCGTCGATGTAGATAAAGCGAAACAACTCCAGCAGGCTTTCATACTCGCAGTCAGATATCTCCACTGAATCTTTTGTCGTTACCGCCATTTAGAAGAATGCTTTAGTTCACCCCTTGCTTAAGAAAGCAGGACTCAAACCTATTAACAAAAATTTTCGACCGGTGAGCAACTTGCAGGTTACATCAAAGATTACGGAAAAGTCCGTGGCTATCCAATTACAAGATCATATGACAGCCAACAACTTATTTCCTGTCCTCCAAAGCGCATATCGGCAGAATCACAGCACTGACACGGCCTTATTAAAAGTTAAAAACGATCTTCTGCTAAATATGGACAAAGGTCACGTCACATTGCTTGTTATGTTAGATCTCAGCGCCGCGTTTGATACCGTAGATCACGGTATTCTTCTGCACAGGCTGCAGTCCAAGCTCGGCCTTCGGAATAAGGCTTTATTATGGTTTAAATCTTATTTGGCGGGAAGAACGCAGCAGGTCTCAGTTAACGGATCGCTCTCTAATAAATTTAATCTGACTTGCGGGGTCCCACAAGGTTCTTGTTTGGGCCCCCTCTTATTTACCATCTACGCGAGTTCGCTGTTTGACATCATGAAATCTCATCTGCCATCCGTTCACACCTATGCGGACGATACGCAGCTATATATATCGTTTAATCCCGTTGATAAGACCAGCGAGGCTGATGCTGTGATTGCGATTGAGAACTGTATTCGTTCGCGCATGGATGAGAAATGATAAGTTAATGCTAAATGACGATAAAACTGAGTTCTTGATCATTGGCACGGAACGACAGTTATCAAAGGTGTCCGTTGACAAGATCAAGATCGGCCAAGCTGAGGTATCGCCTGCCTCTTCAGTGCGCAATTTGGGCACCTGGTTCGATTCTCATCTGGACATGTCGACTCATGTGACTAAGACTTGTGCTAGCGCGTTTTATTATTTGTACAATATCCGGCACATTAGGAAGTATTTGTCTCGTGAGTCCACCGAGAGGCTTGTTCACGCGTTCATCACAAGCAGGCTTGACTACTGTAATGGTTTATTGTACGGTGCTCCTGAGTATCAAATTAAGAAACTTCAAAGAGTCATGAATGCCAGTGCTCGATTGGTTTACTGCGCACCTAAGTATTGTCACGTTACTCCTTTGCTAAGAGAACTCCACTGGCTACCAGTGCGCTTGCGCGTAGATTTTAAGATTCTCCTTGTTACATTTAAGATTCTTCACGGTGTTGCGCCTAGCTATCTTAAGGATCTTGTCTCTGTCTTACCGGACTCACGTTACCAACTACGCCGTAACAATAATGGTATATTATTAGAAAGACCTCGGCTAAGAACGAAGAAGACTTTGGGAGATCGCACGTTATCGATGGCTGCCCCCTTTATATGGAACAGTCTTCCTCTGCCAATAAGACAGGAAACATCAATCGCCTCTTTTAAACGCTCTGTTAAAACATATTTATTTAAAAAGGCTTTTAGTTAGATTATTTATTTATTTATTTATTTTTTAAATATTGTAATTTTACCAGGTAATTTTACTGGTTTTTAATTTAGTTATTAATAATATTGTAATGCGCTTTTGAGTATTTTTATAGAGAAAGCGCAATATAAGTATTAAATATTATTATTATTATTATTATTATTATTATTATTATTATTATTATTATTTCACCGAAAAACATGGCAAAAAACACTGGGCTACTGATCGCTCAGGAGTTCTTGATTGAAAATAAACTCACATCTTTCTCTTATGGTACCTTTGACTGTTTGCCAGTAAGTGTCCGAAACTGTGTCGACAGACATAACTCAATAATACGACGTAACGGTGTACTTTTTTTGAGGGTTAACTGACTGCATATTCACAACATTCACGATATTGTTCCTTCCCTTGAGGCATGCATGGAGGGGTCTTGTTACCCAGAATCCTAGGCCAGCTCTACGCTTGGTTTGTATACAAGGAGTTAATTTGTCAAATGTTTCTCATCAAAGCTACCATACCTAGTTAATCACATTGTTTTCTGAGGAAGTTTCAATGCAAAATTTGATTCGACAATTTACACTCTTCACCTGTCGTGATTTACTGGAAATATTAATCATGGGTTCTCTGGGGATTATAGTTATCTTGTGTCGCTTATCTTGTGATCAGTTTTAAAAGCTAATAATAATGATGATGATGATAATGATAATAATAATAGTAATAATAATAATAATGAATTATTTACAATCAATAACTCTAGATATTTAAATGGTCAAAATATATACAACTCGTAACAAATGGATAAGTTAACCTCCTGGATTAGGTATAAGGGCGCTTTCCATTTGTTAGAACTGGCCTACCAGTCCAGTTCAATTGCAAAGAGAATTCCAATATTTATTAGGGTTATCCAGCCAGATCAGTCTGTTTATAAATGGCAAGCTCGGCAGTGGTGGGTTATAGGGAAAATTTTGACAAAAAAAAATCACAAAATGACGGTTCCGGCCGGCCAGTCCTGACTTTACTTGGAAAGCGCCTTGAGGCTTGCAAGGACTTTGCATCATTTGACCCGAAACTGATAAGGACTGTCGAGGGAAGCCAACCTGGCCTCTAAGTCTCGGACGATGTTTAAAAATTATTAAACAGGCATTTTTCACATTTAGCGGTCACTGGAAGAACTAAATAAAATAAATGTACAAAAAGCTAGCCTGGCGCTCTCCTTTGGCTTCAAACCTGGCCGATTTATTTCAGTTAAATAATGCGATTAAACTCTGATTTTGCACCCAATTTGATACCAAATCTTTCGCAACCTCGTGCTCTAAAACAAGGCTTGCTGTAGGATAATTTATCCATTAAATTTACCCAAGGAATTAAAACACTAGATTAATTGAAATCTGGCTATTTTTCACGCTGCTTTAGTCCTAGAATAGGAAAGTTTGTGGTAACTTCTATCGCAAATATCTCATTCTTGCTTAAAAAAGAAAACTTGGGGAAAAGAGTTGTTTGTTATCGCCCGAGCCCTTCACTTTACCGTCAGCATAACGCCAACAAACGTGAAAAGTGATAGCAGGGCGAGTTTCCAAAATTTTTGCGCGATTGTCAGCATTCTAAAGCTACTCATTAATGCAAAGGAAAGGGCCTTGGAACGTATCACAGTGAATTTGAAGATAAGTTGCGAAGATCGCCGCCGGAAATTATGATGTACGAGTATCACGGTATCAAAGTATTTGCGATTTTTATCCATATTTCACAGAATCATATATAGTCATAACGCTGACTTTGCCCGCGTGGATGGGCTGTTTTATACATTTCATTTTTTACCCTCACATAGGGCTTTGGCCTTCTTCAACACAACTCGCAAGGAAGCAAAGGCATAGTTAAAAAATGACTCAGCAGTAAAATAATACTTTTATCTTACAAGGATATTGTACTTGATGAAGAGAAAACATTTCAAGCGGTCATTCCAGTTAACGGAAACAGACATTGGTGAAAATAACAATCAGAATGAAATAAATTCACAGCTAAAGTAAGAGAACTGTACAGTTTCACATTGCAAATGTTACAGTTCCGGATAGAAAAACTTTTATTTCTACACCACTGTAAGCCATCATTTTCTATCCCTTCTAGATGGTTTGCCATTCCTTCCGGCCACTGCCAGGCTACCCACCAGTATTATATAAAGCGTTAACCGAAGTGGATCTTATTCTTTTGTCTAAGCTTAAGAGTATAAACAACAGAGAGCCGACGTTGAGCAATAAAAAAAAACGACTAGTATGCTATAAAAACATGATTCAGTCCAGAGTAAACACAAATTTAGAAATTTGTCCTTTTTCACAACTGGTGGGTCTTGAAACCGAGTAAAAATGAAATGTCACTCCAGAATGTTCTACAGTAAAGCAGCCATTTGTTCCATACCAAGATGGGGGACCAGCAATGGTAACTGAAATTAGATACCGTCTGTTTGCTTTTATTGCAATAGACGGCACAAATACAATATCAAAGCCTTGGTGATCTCCAATTTCACAGTTTATCTGCCTAGATAAAAAAATGCCTTCTTGCCTTCTAACAGTTTCGCCGATGTTATGATCGAACACCTCGAGTGTTACTGAATGTTCGCTGTTGTCGCTTCCAAAAAGTTGTATTGCGTGTTGATGTATGTCCTTGTCAACTTCAAAACATATACAGTCTGGAAGGAGTGAGCGCCAGCCCCTACCTAGTGATCTAAACCTAGAAACTACAAATTTGTGCCCACCTCTCTTGGCGTCAGGAAATCCCACTGGATCATTAAGCACAGAGTTAAAATACTTTACCAGACGGTTCGTCTCTCGGGGTGTAAGTATTTCAGAATCGAGGACGAAATCAGCAAATTCTCTTTCCTCCATCACTGGAAAACGAATTCCTTGAACAACGCGTTCCCCAAGGACTCTTCTTTTCACGGAGCCTTCAGCTAGGAGACCTTGCTTTTCACATTCTTTTTCAGCCCAGTAATCGATAGCTTTGAATAACTCCACTTCTTTGATATTCAGTGAATTCTTCTCCACTAACTCCTCCAGTGCCGACCTTTCAACTGTAACGAAACTCTCTGATTTTACAGCTTCTTCCGTCTCTGTCTCAATCAATTTCCAGCATTGATTCGTCAAATCTTTCTCTTCGTATTTCTGCGCATCCGGCAAAATGTGAAACACGTTTAACGCGTTTAAGTTCTTTTTAAGGAAAGCAGAGCACTTCTCAGCCAAAGTAGGCAGCATATATTTCTTTGATAAATAAAGCAACTGCATGACATTATCGGCGTTCAGCTTCGCCTTGTCGCTGTAGATAAAGCGAAACAACTCCAAGGCTTTCATACTCACAATCAGAAGTCTCCACTGGATCTTTTATCTCTGCCACTTTGCCGAAAAACATGGCAAAAAACACTGGGCTACTGATCGCTAAAACAAACTTGTGAGCTGGAATCGTCTTACTTTCGCCTTGGGAGTCACAAACCACGAATTTCACATCGCTCAGGAGTTCTTGATTGAAAATGGCCTCACATTGTTCTCTGATGGTACCTCTGGTTGTTTGCCAGTAAGTGTCCGACACTGCATCGATAGACATGGCTAATTCAGTCAGAGATCCAAGTTTCGTTGGTTTCTTTACAAGTATCGAAATGATAACTTTCGTTTCGATTTCCTAGCATTTGAGTCACGCAGGTCACGAGATCTTTTTAGTTCCCAGTGCTCTCGGTCTCAACTGACGGACAAACCTCATACACATTCCACTCTACAGGTGAAACCAGACCCTTCACTCATCACATCGACTGTAACTCTAAAATTTGATACAATGCAACCACTGCTTTAATACCCTGGGTACCAGAGGTTTTTCTCGCGTGCGGCGGGAATTTTCGGTGTTGGCCGAAGGCTGACACATCTTAGGCCGTAGGCCGAAGCGACACTATAAAGTCTTGACAGAAACCGGAAACCGCGCTAGAAAAGTCTCTGGCACCCAGAGTACTGCTTTAAGCAATACATCAGTGAAACCAAACGACAACTTAAGGACCGTTTCGACGAACACCGCAGACCAGTTGACAGCCCTTCTAATATGTCTAATATCTCCAAACCCACCACAGGCTCAGAACATTTTCTTACTAATGATCACTCCGCTAATGACATCACACTTATTCCACTAGAACGCATTAAATCTAATAGAGACAGTGCCAGAAAAGCTAGAGAAGCATACCTCATTGAGAGAGGCAAAACTCTTGAACCCTTAGGTATCAATAAGAAAGCTAGATGAAATGTAACACATTCCTTATTACGTCCATTTGTAATTATTTATTTATACTATTTTGACATTTCAAATTTCTTTCATATCACTACTTCAATAGTTTTTGTTTTCATATACTTTTAACGTTCGCTTTTTTCTTATTTAATTTTTCACGTGTTATTATAGTATCATATTGCACGCTATTCTTTTTGTCAAATTGTAACGTCTAAGCTTACAAACCTTATCGTTGTATGTAAGACCCTGATGAAGGAAGGCCGTGCCTTTCGAAATATTGGTAACAAAAAATATATATTCCCGACTGTAAAATCAGCCTTGCTTCTTTTGTTCAATATTTCAACTTGTAGCTGATTAGATCGTTTCTAAAGATCCTGTCCTTCTTTTTTGTAACGTTGGTCCTTGCTTCCAAAATTGAAGTTGTTCAATGCTTGCAGTCGCGCTTTGGTGTGCATGTAATCCTGGCGAATTTTCAAAGCTTTTGTTGTTATATTCAAGATTTTGCATATTATATGAAAAAAAATACCAGTTAAAATGCATATCACCCCAAATTTGTTCAAGAACAGAATAAAAATAGAAAACTTGTAAAAAACGATTCCGCAGATTGTTTTCGATTTTAGATTAATCTCAATTTTTTTACAGTTTTTTAAATATGTAAAATTAACATCTCGGGCCGTGACATTTTGGGCCTGGGGCGTGTGACGTATTTTGTGGTATTGTTCTCCTTAATATACCCAGCACGCATGTCAGAGTTCAGCGTCGTGTGAGAATGGGTCTCTGCAAGAGCCATAATAGGACAGAGACTGAACAAAATGAATTCACGCTGTTTTAATACTCATCCCTCTTTTTCCATGTCACATCTCGTCCAATTTGTCAAATGTTGGTGATTTTTTTCCTGGAGTTATATTCTAGAGGACTGTATCTTGGTTTAAAAACAAGAATTAGAAAATCGTTGTCTTGTGTTTACCTCCTCCACAAACCAAGAAATTAGGAAGTTTCACGTCGTGGTCGTGCGACGAGGGCAAAGAAATGTGTAAAAAAAGCGTGATGCACGTGATTTTTCACGGGATGGCGCAGTGGAGAGAGCGCTCGCCTCCCACCGGCGTGGCTCGATTTCAAATCCCACCGTCGACGCCATATGTGGGTTGAGTTTTGTTGTTGGTTTTCTCCCTTGCTCCGAGAGGTTTTTCTCCGGGTACTCCGGTTTTCCCGTCTCCTCAAAACCCAACTCTTCCAAATTCCAATTCGACCAGGAATCAGGTAGAGACGAAGAACCACTTGGTGGATGTGCTACCTTCAAATCATTATTTATTATTTATGCACGTGCAAAACTTTTGTTTTACTAATCTAATCCAGTTTCTTTGCCGTTCTCGTTGGTGTCGTCGTAGCTCAGTCTTAGTTGAACCACCATCTTCCCGTCTTAACAAGACGTCTCACTCCGAAAGCCTGTCAAGTGTCGATTCTCACGACTCAGAATGGAATTTTATTCCTGGGGTTGCACCGAATACTCGAGCAAAACGTCCAAGAAGAAGTTGAAAATTATGACGTAAGCTACAACAAAGCGGGGCGGAGCTAAGAACAATGATTTAAAATACGTCATTGTTTCACTCAACCCAGGGAGCCATCTACACTATGGCGCGCCATCTGTAGCAAAATCCCTTTTCGACTATCCCATAATACTCCTTAAATCTAATAAATTCAATATGGCCGCCGCATCGGTAAAAAGGTCTATTCTTACTCCCGAAAAGGTAGACTGCGAATTCAAAGACACGCGTGACAGTTGATTTTGGCGCCAGAACTAACGACTTAGGTCACATGGCTTTGTCCGTCAAACCAAAAAAGTGATCTCACGTGGTCAAAGTTTTTTTTCATTGCTGGCTTCGTTGCTCGCGCATCAGAGTGGTCAGAGTTTTTATATAGCGCTAGATTGCTGAAACCGAAAGGAACTTTCATCGATTGACTTTTAACGAACGAAAATTTCTCCTTTTTGGCTGACAAAGAACACTGTTATGCATTTAACCTGACTTGGCCTATCTTTGGCCTACCAAACACTCAGGAATGTGACCGCGTGAGTTCACCTTTTTGGTTTGACAAACAAAGCCACGTGACTCGAATCGTTAACGTCTGGCGCCAGAAAAATCTCTGAATTCGCGGTCTCCCTGTATCGGTAGTACTATTCACGCTCAAGTTTAAGGCCACTATTTGTATGCCGTAACTTTTATAAAAAATATATCAAATGCAAGCTCAAATGTTTTATTAGCAGTGAATTTCAGTTTTCATACAATAATTAAGCACAACACTCTGCGACTAGTGGTTTCTCTAGGAGCGTCCGGCCTGGAATGACCACTTCCTGTAACTACTCGTAGCAGTTTTATTGAATTATTCAAGATTTCCAAGATTACAAGATTTTCAAGCTTATATTGACTAACCATTCAATCTACTCTTTTTTAAAATTAAATCAAAAGATAGATAGATAGATAGATAGATAGATAGATAGATAGATAGATAGATAGATAGATAGATAGATAAATAAATAGAAAGGCGGGTAGATAGATAGATTGACCTTTCATAAAATATTCTAAACTAGGATTATAGTACGGAATCAAAGAAGCTGGGAACCAAGCGCTCCAGTTTAGTTTTATATAAGTTCATTGAGGCTTGCATCCACCCCGGCAAATCCTCGGGTAACTTATTCCAAATAAATGGGCCCCTGTAACCAAAACGTTTTTTGCCATAATTAGTTTTGGGGAGAGGCAACTGGACTCTAGAAGAGGAGCCCCTAGTATCATAGGTAGACCTCATTATCAAAAAATTTTTGCATAGGTATTCAGGTGCCATATTGTTGTACACCAAGAACATTTCTATAGCGAGGGGCTTAATGCCCTTCCCATTCTAGCTCTTGCAGCAGGGGCCGGAGCTAGAATAATAACTGGAAAAGGTTATGATCCTAAAAGCGGCGCTATTTTGTAGTTCTTGAAGCTTCAGAGTAGGTCTGAACCCAGAAACTCCCAAACAGCGCTGCAATAGTAAAGGTACGGATGGGTCCGATTGCGCTGGTTAATTTCTTTGAGGTCTCCTCTATATGTGCTGCCCCTGTAAGCGCCTCGTCAACATGTACAACCAGGGATTTGGCAGATGTTAATTTAGGTACATTGGTGTCTTCATTAAGGAGTGATGGGCAAGACATGCGAGAAGACCTCTGTCTAGATCCTACAAACAATACCTCTGATTTTGTTTTGTTCAGACTGAATCGGTTTGCACAGAGCAGTGAAAGAAAACAAACGAAAAAATTTCCCACACAAAAGGAGCCTTTGTGCAAGGAATCAAAACATTTTTATTTTTAACTATAAAACCTATAAACTCGTGGGCACGATCAGTCAACGAAAAATCTCACCTTCTTCGACCTCAACAACTGTTATTTATTGAAATTAAAGAAGAAAACCTTTCAACTTGACCATTCGGCGAAAAAAACTGTAACTAAAAGCTCATAATAATATGCTTAACTTTCGTAGACAGTGCATCACCAAACAGCATGAGAACCACGGTTATCAGCAGTCTCCCTGGTCGAAACACACTATAGACAAGACTTTTCTCTCTATATAATCCTGTTCATAATTATATCTTTCCGCTATTCCTTCTCTAGAATTGTGCAGTAAAATACAAGCGTAAACGAGCAGCGCGAGATTAAAGCAATACCGTTCGTGGTACAAAAAAATATCCCGAGCGGCCGATAGTCCAAAAACGCGCGAAATAAGAAAGCCGTTAGTAAATTTCTACTTGCATAGTAACCGGGTTACCTACCAACGAGAGACGTTAATAGGCCCTTAAGAGTAACACGTCCGCAGAGACGTGCTCATAGTGCTGCTGGGATAGCGTTAAAGACAGTGCATCAACATATGTCTTCCGGTCTTGACTGGAACCTTTTTAAGACGAGAATGGAAAAACATAATGATAATCAAGTTTGTCAAGAATTGTCTTGATGGACAAGCTTCAAGTTATTTGTCAGATTATTTTCAACAGCAAACTTATGATGTTCATGCCTATTACACTAGGTCTAAGGGTAAGTATCTATTGATAAAGTCAATCC